CTTCCCAAATCCAGCACAATCATCCTGAGCAGCCCCAGAGCTGTCCAAACTCAGCACATTCATCCTGAGCAGCCCCAGAGCTGCCCAAATCCAGCACATTCATCCTGAGTTCCAACTGCTGCCGTATCGGGAACACGGTTGAAAAGGGAAGACGGAGCTCTCCAAGACACAACGAAAACAAATCCTTCGCCTCCATCCCGCTCTCCCCAAGTTCCTTGGCTCGGCTTAACAAGGCTTTTCTGCCAAAACGTCCACATTAAGGGCCCTGCACCCCCCCGAAAGCTTCGTGGCACCGTCACATCATGCCCCAAATGTGCCAGCTCAGAGCTCTGAGTGACAGAAGTGTCACATCATGCCCCAAATGTGCCAGCTCAGAGCTCTGAGTGACAGAAGTGTCACATCATGCCCCAAACGTGCCAGCTCAGAGCTCTGAGTGACAGAAGTGTCACATCATGCCCCAAACGTGCCAGCTCAGAGCTCTGAGTGACAGAAGTGTCACATCATGCCCCAAATGTGCCAGCTCAGAGCTCTGAGTGACAGAAGTGTCACATCATGCCCCAAATGTGCCAGCTCAGAGCTCTGAGTGACAGCACACCCCGGGCCCAGCTCTGCGGGGAGGGCACCTGAGCAGAGCAGCCCGACCAGAGAGCTGGGAGAGGAGGGGGGGGGACCACAAACAACCCCAACAAAGGCAGGAAAACATCCCATTCACTCAGCGAGGCCGCGGGGCTGCTCCCAGCAGGGCTTCCTGAGGGATTTTTAGGGCGGCAGAGAAGGGAGCGGCCGTGCCAGGCGGGAGCTGAGCTGCGGGCACAGGGGGGGCTGCTCGAGGCTGACAGGAGACCCCTCGGCCTGTTCACACTCAGCCAGGCCAGGCCAGGCTTTTTTTGACCCGAAGTCGGCAGAGAAGCTGTTAGTGGGGAGCCTGAGCGGGACGGAGCGGATGCATTCCTGACTCCTGCCCTCGGGGAGCATAGCAAGGGAATGAGGCACAGACACAGGACTGACTCACCTCCCTCCTGTGCTGCCCCGGAGAGCAGCGGCTGGGCTGGATGCAGATCAAAAGGTAATAAATCAGAGCAGAACAACCAGGGTTTGATGTTTGAACCAGAGATGGAAGAGGAGATTCACACCCTGCCCTGCCGGGGCACAGGAGGAGCTGCCTCCTTTCGGAGCATTGCCAACACACTTGTTTGTTTTTTCCCCTCCTCAAGGTCCCAGCTGTTAAAGCCATGATTGCAGGATTTCCCAGACTCGCTGGAAAAGCACGTATGCCATTGTGTCCCACGGCTGGAACAGGAAAACGCCTGAAAATCCGAGCCACAGGCTCCCAACACAAACCGTCTCCTCGCCGCCGACGCTCTCCAACCTCATTTTTCTTTCAACTCTTCCTAAATGGCTTTGGAGTTTTGCAGGGCCGGCTTTCGGCTCCCCCCAGAACTGCTCCTATCCCACGCTGGGGGAACTTTTCGGCCTCGTGTATCCCAAAGCCATCCACGTGGCCGCTCACGTGCCACGGCCTCGGGATACTCGGAGCCACTGGCCTCTGTCCCCTGGTGTCACCTGGGTCCCGACTCCAGCCCACAGCCAGCCAAGTGTGAAGCAGAAACCGGGGCCAGTTGTGCTCCAGCCACCCCAGCCTGGATTCCCCAGCCCTCCACACAAATCCAGCCCCACAAAACCACGGAGTCTGTGGCTTTGTCGGCCCGCACGGAACACGGCGTGGCACCGAAACGCCTCTGCCGGCTCAGGAGTGGCCAGGACAGCTCCCAGCACGGAGCCAGAGCCTCTCCCTGCCCCGGGGAGGTTCCCAACGAAGCCATTTAATAAACTGCAGGACAAGACATGCTCGTGTCCCATCCCCACTCACCTCCATCCTCTGTCCCAGGACAAGGCACACACTCGGACCAGCCCCGACACTGGGACTGACCCCTCATCCCAAATGACGCGTCCCGAAGGTTCAGGACCCTGCTCAGGACAGGGGTGACCTCCCTGCCATCCCACACTCTTCCCACCGAGCTTCCAGCCCGGCTCTGAGCACTTCTGCTGCCATTTTCGTGCTCCCACTTCCTGCTCACAGCAGGCAGGGAGTAGGAAGTGCTGAAATCCTCCGACCCTCTCGCTGCGAAACCAGGAAGCGCCGGGGATCTCCTGAGAAGGGCTGTGATTTGGGGCTGGAACCCTCTGCAAACATCTGGGCAGAGGGATCACATCTGGACCCTCGGAGTGGGGCCCACGCTCCCCACCCTCCTCCTGGAACAGGGCAGAGCCACTCACGGATCATCCAGGCGGGAAGAAACCGAGGCACAATCCAAACCCTCCGGCCTCTCGCTTCCCTCCTTCCCCCACGAGCGACACCTCACTCGTCTGCCCTGCTCACTCCCCGCTGAGCCGAGTCCAGCACATCCCACACCCTCTGCAGGAGTCTCCCGACATCCCATCACTCGGCAGAGCCTCCTAAAACATCCAAACCCCACAGAACACCCTTCCCGTGGCAAAAAAGGTGTGGGAGGCTGCCCAGGGATTGCCAGCACAGGGCCAGTCTTGGACGAGGGGGCTGCACTGGCTCCTGCTCAATCTCCAGGGGGATCTGGGCTACTCGGGGCACCGACAGTTCTTCTCCCGGGGCGCATCCCTTCCCAAAAGGTGTTTGGGAAGAGAGAGAGGGGTGCCCTCGCAGCAAACCCACCCGAGGAGGGCAAACCCGGCAGTGCTGTGGGCGCTGTGCCCTCCCAGCCCCGCTCCCCGCGCGGGGAGAGGCAGCGGGATCGGCCCCGAAACATTCCAGCGAACCGCAGGCTCGGCTTTGCCGCGTCCCAACGCCCGCTCCGGGAGGCGGCCGCGGGTCGAGGGACCCCCTGAGCCGGGGGTTCGTTAGCCCGGAGTCCCTCCCGCGGTTCCAGGCTGATCCCCGCGCGCGATCGGCGGGACACCGGCTCCTCCCGGCTGGATCAGCTGCGGTTGGGAGTTGCCATCACCCGGCGCTTCCCCCGACACCGGCACGGCCCGGGCTCTCCGCAGCGCCCCGAGCCTGGCACTCGGCACCCAGGGGTGACAGACCCAGAGGTGACAGGGGTGACAGCCCTGCCAGCGCCTCTCCCCACACCCGGGGGGCACCGACACCCAGCCAGCCCCGCCCGGAGGCTGCGGACCCCCAGGAACGGGACCCCCCGATCCGGACCAGCCCCTGCGGGGAGCTCCTGGATCCCAACGCCGGGCAGGGAACCCCTTCCCAGGATCCCGGGAGCCCTGGGGGGAATGCGGGGAGCGAGGGGTGCAAGACCTGGGGAGGGGGCGAGCGGAGCCCCCTCGGGGGGTGACCCGGGAGAGGCGGCTCCTCCCTGGGGGCTCGCGGGGAGCGGGCCCGGGCTGAGCCCGGCGGGGGGGACCGGGGGTGACAGACCCGCGGGATGGAGCCGGGACCTACCTCGGGGGGGCCCGGGGGGACAAAGGCGATGCTGGAGCGTCCCAGGGGAGGGGGCGGCTCCGCGGGGGCTCCGCGGGGGCTCCGCGGGGCTTCGGCTCCACCTGCGGCGCCGCGGCCGCGCCGGAACCGGGCGGGAGGAGCGGGGCGGCCCCGGAGAGGGATGCGGGCGGTGCCGCTCCGCCCCCGGCACCGGCTGCGACGGCAACAGCGGCGGGGACGGGCGGGGAGTTGCGGGGTCCGAGCCGAGGGACCGCGAGAGGCTCCTTCCAGACGCCCCCGGGGGGGCTGGAGGGGGGAGAGACCCGGGCAGCGGGAATGTGGGGCGAGTCCTGGAGGCTGGGAGTCAAATCTGCCCCCGAGCTGCTCCATCCCGGGGGTGTCTGAGCTGGGGAGAGCTCTGGGAATTCGACTGGAGACGGGAGAGCAGAGACGAGCCGCCAAAGGGCGGGAAATCCCGGGATTAAGGCACCGCACCCCCCGCGCCCGCCCCTGCCCGGGGTCCCGCTCCCCCTGTCGCGGGTCCCCCGTCACCCTCCCGGGGCACCGGGACAGGGATGGGGCAGCTCCCGGGAGAATCCTGCGGGATGAGGTGGGCACGGGAGAGCATCCTATGGGATGAGGTGAGCACAGGAGAGTGGGAGAATCCTGCGGGATGAGGTGGGGACAGGAGGGCGGGAGAATCCTAAGGAATGAGGTGGGCACAGGAGAGCATCCTGCGGGATGAGGTGGGCACAGGAGAGCGGGAGAATCCCACGGGATGAGGTGGGGATGTGTAAGGACATCCCCCAGGACGGTGGGAGCCTCCCCACGCCGCTCCCGGGGGAACCGAACCCCCCAAAGGAAGAAACGGAGCCGAGTTCCGAGCGAAGGAGGCGGAGGAGCTCGGGGCCCATTAAATCCCGTCCCAAAGCCCGGCGATATCCCGAGATTCCCTCGCTGCCAGCGGGGGGAAGAGCCCGCGGCGGC